ATGGTCGACTGGGTCGGCAATGCCATCATACTCCTTCATTTGGGGAGGCTTCTCCATTCCTTTAGGAATGGGCGCCTCCTTGATTGCTCATGATAAAGGACCGCGGGGGTCGTCTTTGTCGCTCCTATATGGGGAGTAGGAAGGAGACCGGTTGTATCGACGATCGTGGTGGTGTCCTTAGCCTCAGGGATGATCCCTTGGTCAAGGATGTGTTACTACATGGCCCCTGTTTCTATTTCCAGGGGATCGTTGTTCCCTGCGCAGGGGGGGGGGGTGAGGCCACGCCTCTCGATAGCTTCGGGCATGGTTCCCTCTAGCTCGGGGCGTCTGCCAGTTCATTGAGAAGAGAGGCTCTGCGACCTGTCCTGTCTGTGTCTCTGCTGGGGAGATTGAAGATGGTCTTCATCCTGTCAAGGAGGAGGTGTGTCGGGCCTTCTATGTATTCTGGGGGATTGACGAGAGTCCTCGAGCACCCTTAGCTGCTCACCTTGCGCGGAGATTAGGTAATTCGTATGGTTAGTTGCTGCGAATAGAGCCCGGGTCGTGGCATCAATGCCCAAGGAGATGGGGACTTCCTGGAAAGTGTTCGACTTGTAGTTCTGGGGCGGATGGTTGCCCTTGTGTGGTCGAGTGTGCGATGAGGAAGAGGCAGTCATGCCATTTCTATAATTCTGCATGAGATCAGCCATGTCACCGTCGTTCCCGTTGTTGTTATTGTTTTTGCCCGTGTGTTCGACGACATTATTATTGGGGCTAGCGAGATGGGCGTCCAAGATGTTGTTGGCAGCTGGTTCGCCCATAACAATCGAGAATTTGGAGTTGCTTTTGTCTTAGATAAATGAAGACGGGGAAGCTAGTTTCCCACAGACGGCGCCACTGATCGTACCTAACCAGAGTGATCGTCAAGGCCTTACATCGAGCTGAGGTTGAAAGTGAGATGGGGGATACCTGCAAGACACTTTGTTACCAAAGTAAGTTTCAGGGAGAGTGCAAGCAAGTGTGAGTGTTAGTATGAGTATGAGAATGAATACCTGGCCCTTTCAAATGAGAGGATATTTATAGCCCCCAGCACTGGGCCAAGATCCCAATTGTTGAGCCACGATGAGGCCCAATAGTGAAGACTGTCAGGGATTACATGTGTATGGAGTCCAACAAGTGGACTCTCCTCTGGTCAACTGCTCCACGAGAATAGGGGTTGGACCCGTGATTTCCAGAGGGCAGTCAAGATGACAATGACGCGGATACGTGGACCATGTTCCCCAAAGGATGCGTGGGGAGTTGCCCAACGGTTCCTAGCTTGGATTTCTTGCCTTTGGGCCTTATACAAGAGTGTTGGACTAGGCCTCCCAACCGTAGGGAAAGTGCAGGCCTAGTCCAGATCTGATTTTATCTTAGATATGTTTGTGTTTTTTTTTTCGTCGTAGCATATATTTTGGTGATTGTTAATCTATTTTGGTGGTTGTAAGACTTGTTATTTTGATAATATAATTGATTTTTTTATGTTGCTTTAAATTTTGTGTGGTACATATAAAAAAAATATTTCAAAATTTTTTTTGTTAGTTCTCTTGTTATATGATTGGCTTAAATTTTGTAAAACAAATAATAGCAGCAATGAAGAATAGGATAAGAAGAACAGGCACAATAAGAAGTCCTATTACAATGTCAGAACATGTTGTGTTGAACTTTTTCAACAACTGGAACAACATGTCGAAGAAGATGTCTTGACATCGCGCCTGCTGAGCTGGATTAATGAGATTTAGTTTGTTCTCAACATAGGCAGAATATTCAGGAGCATATTATGCATCCTATGTGGCGCATATTTAAAGGTTTATAAAATTCAATCAGAAATCAAGGAGAATGAAGACTTTCTAAATAAGTAGATTATTTAGGAAAGTAAAGATTGAAGACCTTTCTTGGGGCAGAAGTTTATGCAGTTTGTTACAGCTGATTTGCTGTGATTGAAGGTCCAAAACCAGTTGGGTAACAAGTTATAATAGAAGGGTTTGTAACCTAGAAAAGATATGAATCAAGATGTAGAAGTCTAGGGTTTTATTAAGGTAAACCTCCCGAGTTGTGGGAAGGTTACCAAGTTCCCCTCGAAGCCTGTAGGTAAGATGTGTATTGTTCTTGGAGGAAGCTTTGAAGCAACTCCAGGATGTGTTCTTAGTTAGGAGCAAAGCTAAAAAATAGTGGAGTTTGGCTTGGAGACTTAGCTAGGTTGTCATGGAAGTATGTCTTCCAAACTGTCTATCTGTGTGATCAGAATCTTGGTGAAGGGTCGTCTATGTAGTGACTGAGGTGTTGACTGCTAGACATCATTGTGATGATTGGAAGTGGGATGGAGATATTTCATATCTAGGGAGGACCTAGGTAGAAGGGTCATTGAGTAGTGATTAAGTGCGTAGATCGTCAACAAGTGTGTTGGCTGTAGGGTCTGCAAATTGATACTGCTGATAGTGGACTTCATTTTTGGTTTGGTAGCCCCCAGAGTAGGTGTTATTGTATACTAAACTGGATAAACAATTTTGGTGTGTTCTTTATCTTTTCAGTACTGATTTATCTTGTCTGTGTGTTTATGTCAGATCAGATGTCTCGACATCCTTGTAGGACATCTGAGTCTGCTATACCATAATTTTAAATTTGATTATTAAAAATATTAATTAAAGAAAAGAAATATTTGTAAAAAAAAAAAAGAGACATATACCAATATCTAATTTCGTCTCATACCAACGAAAATACGTGGATGGTTAAAGTTATTAAATAGTGTAATTAGTTGTTGCTATAGACCCAAAATTTTGACCAACCCCTGAAATTACCATTGGTATTGGGACGGAAAATTGCCTTTAGTATAGAGAATCATAGTTCACTGAAACAAACGTCCGCCGGTATAAGTTTTTTTACCTTTACCAACGGTTTTTGTACCTTTACCGATATATTTTTTGCCGTAAGTACATGTCAATTTTCTTGTAGTGAAAATTATTTTAGAGAAATTAAGTAAATAAATGTATCAAAATATCTTTTTTTTCAATTTTTATAATTAAGAAATTATTGTGATATGAAAAATGTAAAGATGAAATATATATAGATTCATTAAGAGTGTCACATTCTCTAATATAATTTTAAATAAATAAAGAGTAATTAATTCTGAAAAATTGTGGAATATATACTTTAACATTAAAAGTATTTTTTAAATCATTTGTTGCTGTGATTTGAAGAAAACAAAAATTATTTTAAACTGTGTAGATCCAAACATCTCTTTTATTTTCAAAATTTTAAAAAATATATTTAGTTGGAGTAATTATTGTATTGTTAGGATATTTAATTAAAAATGATCAAGAATGTCTTTATCTCAAATATTATTTAAAATAAGAATGAATTATTGTAAAAGGGTTGAACCCCACGCTATTTATCAATATGCAAGAAAACAATATATGTGGTTTTTGAGATATGGTGTTGAAACTAAACGTTAAATCCAAAACCATCTTTAAATAATAGTACTATTTATTTAAAATATATGATGAATAAGTACCATCTCATTTATTTTTTTAAATTAAAATATTCTAAAATTATATTAGAAATACTAAGAAAAAAAAAAGTATCAAAATATATTTTCTTTCATTTTTATAAGGAAATTGATTGTTAATATATAACATTACTCTTTGTATAATTAAAAAATTATTTTAAGACAAATATGAATAGTACTTTATATATATATATATATATATATATATATATATATATATATATATATATATATATATATATATATATATATATATATATATATATATATATATATATATATATATATATATATATATATATAATTAAATAATAAAAGTTAATAAATAAATATTAGATTATTGTATTTTTGCATTTGTGAGGATTTGAATTCATGACTATAGAGAATAACAATATATTTTAATCAAAGATGGATTATGAGAGATGCCACGTAGGAAAATAAATTATGTGAGACAAAAAAAAATTAAAGTGTCGCAAGATAGGAGTTGAAGTGTCGAAAAATACTTTGATGCAGTAGATTTAATAGATATAAATAGATTAATTATATTTGTCTAATAATGTATTGTATTAAAATAATAATAATAAATTGTTCTATCTTAGCTAGGCATCATTCAATTTCTTTAAGGAATAACTAATGTTAATCATTACACTATCTTTAGACATTTAAAGTCTAAACTTCAAGGAAGGATTCAATGTATCACTTAGGTTAAGTAAAAGCCTTAGAAGTCACAACTACGCTTTTAAAATCTCTTTATAGAACAAAATGAGGCAAGTCATTGGTTAAGGCCAACCAATTTAGCCCCAACATGAAAAATTCAAATAATAATTTTAAACTAGATAGAAGAAGTGCACTTGAAAAATATAGTTTCATAACATTCAACACTAACTAATAAAGTCATAGAAAATCACTCACTAGTCAAGCATCTCTATGCTAACTCTCGCACTATAAACGAAATTTACCAAAAACTCAGTTACCTATTAAGGATTGCAGAGGAAACTCTTCATACTTTCTATGTTACTGTGGGTTTGTTTGAACAAATTAGAGCTAACTTCTTAAAGTGGTCTAACCAACCAGTCAGATTTTGCATATCCAGTACAGGATCATAACAGGAGTCAGAATAATCTCAAAACCTATGGAGGCTATAACAATGGTGACAATATGTATCTTGGAAAGCAAGGCATATCATGTAATGCATCAGTACCAAAATCCAAAATCACAAGATTAAAGTTTACAATCAAGTCACAAGCCCAATCTTTCATAGATATAGGCCATTGATTTTATTCAATCACATTTTGTTTCCAAAAAAAAAAACCACAAGCTATGTTAGGATTACAAACGTCAACATATGTGTTTAACAATGACTATTCAATCAAATAAGTCTTGCATTCATTTTCAAAGCTTGACAACAGTTATACATGTTGATGATGCTCTTAACACAAGACAAGTCTCATTCTTCTCTCAAACTTCATATGGCTGCCTATCCGTATTTAAAAAGTAAAATCGATCTCAGACTCATATAGAAAAAAATGTGGCATTTTGGCCTGTAATTTATATATAAGCCTGCAAAAAGAAACAAAACTCCATCAATGTGTTATCCCTAAACATCACTCACTACAGTAACAAGGATATGACAAAGCTAGGCTAAGAACAGTGAAGTTTGTGCAAAATGAAGTTAGAACACAGTGGAATCTGATCATCAAGGACTTACCATAGCTAGCACCAATGATACAATGCCAATGGGGGCCATGTCTTTTATCAAACTCTTTCTTTATCTCCTCAGCAGCCTCCTTGTCCTTCAATAAGTGTTTCTTAAACGCCTGCAGATAGATTAATACATGATTGTACAAAATTTCAAGACTTTATGAAACTAGACATCATGAAAACCAAAACCCAGAAAGATAATCGAAAGAAAGATAGACTAACATTGTCGACAATATCAAAAGCCTCATATTTCATTTTATAAGACATGTTATTACTCTTGATGAGGACGGTATTCCTGAAGAACACAGGTGGCAGTGGTGGTCGTGGTGATAGAGGTGATGGAGGGCTCACCGTTGATTGCTGTGAGTCAGAAGTAGGTTTCACCGTTGATTGTGGTGATGGTGGTGTGTTGGAAATGGGATTCTTCTTCTTGTTCTTCTTGTTCTTCTTGTTCTTCTTCTTGTTTGCCATTGTTTTTTGGTGTGAGTAACTGATCAAGATTGCTAAGCTTGAAAATAATCACTTCCCTCCTTCACCAAATATATAGCAAATGAAGTTGGGTGTGAGTTATAAATCCAAACTCAAAAAGGACTGATCTGCAATGCTTTAAAATATTAAATTTTTATTGCATCCTTTTTGTTATTTTATAACTGCCTCTAACCGCTGTCTCCTTCATGAATAGAAATGACATTTCATTACACTGCTATATCATATTGATGCAGAAAAATGAAGTTTCTACTCTTTTTCATTTCACTCTATGCTCTCTCTTTCTTCCCAATATCTTATTCCACAGGTAACCAATAAGAAGCACAGTTCTTTGATCTTAATTATCATGTAGAAAAGCAGAATGTTAATGATTTTGTGTTTGATTTTTGGTTGTTCAGATAGATCAGAATTGCCTATGATTGCTTTCAGTTGGTGGGATGATATAGGTACGTTTAGAAGTGGTGAAACAGCAACCATCAAGGTTAAAGTACTTGAGAATGGTGATAAAATTGATACCAATATCTTCCATCCCATTCTTACTGTCAATGGAAAGGAAGGAAATAGTTCCTATGTATCCACCGTCTTGTCCCATTTCAAAGGAGACTTTGATAATTGGAAGATTTCCTTCACTCCCATTAGGGTTGGATTGTTCAATGTCCTCATTGATGAAGATCGTTACAAAGTTTCTGACTCGTCGTTGCATTTCCAAGTTGAACCAGGTTTCATCAAAACCCTTAACCGCCAGAAAGACTAGCACTTTCTTGTCTGTCTGTCTGAATTAGTTAGTGCATATCATGATGCTATACGTAATATAGGTTCATTTGGTTTCGTATGTGTTTATTTATTGATTGATGTTTGATATTGCTATTGTTGTTTGGTTGAAGGGAACATGTATCCATCCGTGTGTATAGCATCATGGAAGGGGATGAAATACGAGTTTGAAGCTGGTTCAAAAGCTACAATTATGGTTTTACTCAAAGATGCATTTGGGAATGGCATATCTAAGACAACTCAAGTTTCCTATATGCCTGATTTTAAGTTGCATGTGTTAAGTAAAAATGGTTCTGTTGCTAATGAACCTGATATCTCCAACATGGCATGGAATGAGTTTGATTATATAGTCATCGAGTTCGTAGTGACCAAAGCTGGAAACTTCTCTTTACACGTCGAAGGAGGAAATCAAACCTTGAACGGTTCTCCCTTACCGTTAAAAGTGAATCCGGGAGTTATAGATGTTTCTAAATGTGTAGCTAAATGGAAAATTGAACATCATGCATGGCAATTGTCTTCAAAGATGGAGATCTTTATACATCAGTTGGATCAATACGGAAATCTGGTTTCTGGACTGTATCCATTTGATGTTGAAGTCGTTGAACGAGACACAAATTTGTCGATACCAATAGGAGATCTTCATTTCGAGGAGGTGGAGGCTGGAATTCAGTTGTTTTCCTTTGGTAATTGGGAACCAGGGAACTTCCTGCTAACAATATATGATGCCAAACATAACAAAAGCATTTCCAATATGCCATATGTATATACTGTTTTTGTTGGTAAAGTTTCATGCTAATTCTTTTGTCTCTCACTCTCTCTCCCTGTGGACTTTTAGTTTATCTCTCAACGTTTCATTTTTTCCGATCAGGTTATTGTGATGGCGTAAAAAGTGTTATCAATGGATCTGGTTTAAATGATTCAGTTGCTGGGATACGAGCTGAATTCTCTGTTTATTTGAATGACATGTATCAATATCCTTCTCCTGTTGAAGAAGGCATACTTCAAGTACAGATCTTAAGAAAGAATGATTCGTACAGTGTTTCGCCAATTATATATCCCATGATAAACAATAATGGTATTTCAAAGTATGCTTTTTTAGTACATTTGATAATTGTATTTTGCTTGTTATAATGCATTGATGATTGATCCTAGGGAGTGAAGTGGACTTCGGAGTGGGATACGATGATATCGGCCACATGGAAACAATCCCATCACCTTCACCTTCAGTTGATATAGGAAACAATGTGAGGAACACAAACATAATTAGCAGCGTATTTCAAGTGGAATACACACCAGAGAAAAGTGGATTTTATGACATTAGTGTATATTGTGGAAACATAATATTGAATGAGGGCCATTCATTCAGAAAAGAGGTAAAAGCAGGTACCAAAATATCATTTATTAGGTAATTTTTTTCATATATTTGTTAATAGTTCCGATCATTTCTCATGCATCCTTAGCTTACTGCAGGTGATGTAAATATCACCTTGTCAAGTGTGGTGAGGTTTTCTTCAAAGGTACCAAAACTATTAAAGAATGAAATAGTTGTACAGGTTTTGGATTCATATTTAAACCCGGTTCTCTCGCAAGAATCAAGGTTGAAATTGGAGATTACTTCAACTAATCGTTCGGGATTTTCAACTTGGGACACCATTGATAATGAGGATGGATCATACACTTGCAGCTATATGGTTAAAGATGTTGGCACTTATGAAATTTGTGCTTCTTTTGATGGCATGCATTTCTTGCCATGTCCCCTCAGTATCAACGTGTATAGTAGTAAGTTCAAACAATGTGATAATGTTTTCTTCTTGTCTGTAGACGAAGTGGTAGTAACTATAAAAAACTCAGACACAACTATGAGTACTAGGGTTGAACGCTAGGATTTGTGGACAAACAATGTGCTATTTATTAATCTAATTTTGGCAAAATATGCTTCTTCGTATACAGATGAATATTTTCCTAAGGCGAATGATGATACATTATCTATTTGGGAGCATGAATCCATTGCCTTTGATGCCTTGGAAAATGATTATTTTGCTGGTGATAATGCAAGTATAGTCGAATTCTCAAAAGTAAGATATGTTGTCAATTCGTTCCAAAACATTTTCCTAGTCTTCTTTTTCCTGTTATTCTATGTTGATTCTTCTGAATAAATGACCCTTATGGTGGTACTTTTTCAGTCAGATCATGGTTCACTTATACAGAACGGAAGGATCTTTCGCTACACACCCTATGAAAATTACTATGGAAATGATTCTTTTTGGTATACAATATCTGATATAAATGGAAATCTTGCAACAGCTTCCGTGTGCATTTCGGTTCTCAACATTCCACCTCAGTTTGCTTCGGTTCCAAGTCAACTGCAAGCAACAGAAGATCTGATAAGTCCGAGATTCGGGTCTCTATCTTTATCATATATAAATATTTGTGAAGAAATTATGCAATACTTTATAGTGAATTGATTAGTCTTTCTCTATATTATCTTATTATTATGATCTCTTGCAGCGGTTTTTCTGGATTTGAGATAACGTATTCAAATCTATTGGAGAATATATCAGTCAATCTGAGAGCACAATCGGGAAGTATATTTCTGTCTCCGGTGTTGATGCAATTTGGAGAACCAATGTGGACCGAACTTACAATTAATGCAGGAAACGAAACAGCAAAGAGTTTAACACTAGAAGGCTCGGTGGAAGTTATTAATATCGCGCTTCAGTCAATTCAGTACCTCGGGTAATGTACAATCCACAATACATGAAACTGTTTCATCTCAGCATGTTCGAGCTTTGGTGTTATTAATTCTTCTTTTTGTTTTGCAGAAATGAGAATTTTTACGGTGCAGATAACATTCAAGTCTCTGCGAAGAATAAGAATGGGGTAAATTCATTGAGTGTTCCACTTCTTGTTGATCCTATCAATGATCCTCCATATATAACAGTCCCTTACTTCATCATATTGAGGAGTGATGAAGATGAAAGACTTATCTTTGACAAAAATAAAGACAAGTTCAACTTTTACATTGGAGATCCCGATCTTCTAACGTTCCCCGGTGGCGAGGCTCAATTTCTGATGACGTTTTCTATGGAAGTAAGCGATGGATTATTAGCAACAAATCTTCCATTTCATTTGATCAACACAACTGAAGTGAAACACAGGAATAATTATCAGTGGCAATGTCTTCAAACATATGTAACTATCTCAAAGCACTTTATGGTGAAAGCCAGTGGAATCAGATTTCAAGGCACAGTAAATGACTGCAATACTGTTATGCAACAACTCTATTATCATGTGAGTGATGTTATTACTAGTTGTCATTATTTTTCCTCTGTAGCACCGACACTTCTAAAAAAGACGTGTCTGTGTCTGTGTCAGACACAACTCTAACACTTGTTATTATGTTCATTTTTTCAAATTATTATCAGTGTCAATGTGTTAGTGTTCGGACTTCAGAGGTTTTTTACTCTCTTTTTTGTCCAGGGAGACGAACATGGAGCAACATTAACATTGACATTGAATGACATGGGAAGCTATGGATGTTATCCAGATTGTGAAGACGGAATGACAATGCCATTATATACTGAGGCTATGGTTAACTTAATGAGAAAGCAACCAATGGATTCATTTCTTGCTCACAGTAAGTTTAATAGAAAATGGAAAGAATAGAGGTGTTTTGTTCTGAGACTTACAAGCTCATTCTATTTGTGTAACAGCATTAGGATCAATTATTGTCATTGAATTCGTTATCATTTCATCTCTTGGATTGTTACTTCTATACTTCACCTGCAAATGCGCAATTCTTCTCGTGCATGAAAGAAGAAACAATAAGAAAAGGTGTTCAGAGCCATCAACTGATCAAAGTTCCCAAGGACAAACTGTAAGTGCATAAATCAAAGAGCGCGTTACTAGCACTCCTTCAAAACAAATAACTCATTCGACGTTTCTTTTCCATTCAATTAACCATGTTCGTTTGCATTATGTCACAATTACATGTTCGTTTTACAATCCCTTGAGTAATTTCGTATCCAAACTTTCAGGTTCCTTCCTCCATTTGAAAATTGAGAAGCTAGCAAGACAGTGAATTCATCCTCTCCATTTGAAGATTGAGAAACATTGCATACAGTTATTCCAACCTGACTCTTTTCATTAAAGTCTTAGCTTAAACTATAATGATGAAATCATTTTCATTTGGCTAAATAGATGATTGTATTAAACTGCAATATGGGTTCAAATATACACTTTTTGATTTTTCTATTTTGGCACTTTATATTTCCTTTATAGAACTGAGAATTTACATGAGAGAGCTTATGGTTGGAATCATGAATCCTAAATCATGCCTTAAAATTTAATTTTTAAAACAACACAAAATTTCCAATAAAACACTATCAATCTTCTTAGATAAACACAAGAATAGTGGAAATTGGTAATAGATTTGGTCTTTGAGGACCATACTGAGAAGGTGTTGAACCCACTACAAATTCCATTCTTTATGTATCTGTTTTCTTTGGCCCTTCAATTTTCAGCTCTTTCAGCGGTTTCTTTTCATCATAAAGGCCTCATTACATGAATTTGTGCCATTCTTTATGGTTTTAGGCCTATATAAAACATTGTATTTTTTATTTTATGGACACCAAGGTTTACATAGTTTTATAGTTTCTCTGTTTTAGAATTTTCTGCACTTTACTTTTTTTAATTCTGATTGTAAGGACACCAAGGTTTACATATATAGTTTTATAGTTTCGCTGTTTTAGAATTTTCGGCACTTTATTTCTTTTTTAAGTTTAAGTTTTTGCTGCTATTTGTAAAGACTCTCCGGAACAATTGTACTCTTTATTTCACTACAATTCAAGTTATTTATTCGCTTTTATATTTTGTTCAATATGTTTATGTTTTTGTTTAGAATCATATATGTCTTTACCATTGTTATGAGTGAGTAATATCACTTAGGCTTAAGATCATGTGAACCATCCAAAAGAGTGAAAGCTTCGAAAAAGTTTCCAATCTTTAATCTTATTTGATCTACTTTTTTTTATTTATTTATGCACAAAATGAATACCTCTACGAAAGTGGAGGTAAACTTAGATTACATTAGATGGACTAAAAGATGAAAGTTGATGTAACTTAAAAATCAGACGAATAAGCCAACATGTAAAAGTAGCTTAGGCATATTCGAGAAAACACAATCTAATTGCAAATAGCTAAACATAAAGGGTCACGTCGCTGAAACAAGCCATAAAAATGTGAGGCTTCGAAGACTTAGGATACAGTTGTATGCTTCGAAAGAAGATACAATCTAAATCTTTCTATTATTTCTTTGAAAAATCAAATGTGTTAAAATAGAGAAAACTAAAAGCTTTATTTTTACTCTGTCTGTGAAACGGGGTGTTGTTGAAACACTTTTTATAGGGTAAGTATTTGTTTTACCGTCTCTACAGGGATTGATGTGATATTATTGTCGTTCTACAGTTCATAATGTTTTAAGTACGAGTTTTAAAAAGGTTTTGGTAACAAAAAATAACGATTGCATAAAAGTAAGTAACAACGGAAAAATTTAAAGTTTGAACGGTTTAAAAAGCATGTCAAGATTTGATTTCATTAACCTATTTCACACATATCCTATTAATCGAGCATGTGAACTTGTTTATGTTCATTATAATCATGTATCCTCTTAATACCGTTTATCATTTCCTTCCACCGCGCTAAGCCCATCCTCCTACTTTGATTAAAAATTTCACTTGAAGTCATTCTTTAGCCCTTCAATGTTCAATGGTTCAATATTGTGAGCAATCATACAAATTGAGCCAAAGATGATTAACCTACACAATATTTACTCGATAAAACCAAAATGTGATTATTTACACTAAAGCAAGGGTTTTCACATGAATATGCAATGAAATGAATTAAAAGACACCAATAAACTATATTAAATATTAACGCCATTTGGCCCATAACAGATGTATGACTCTAAGCGTGATTCTTTAATTTATTAATTTTAATTTAATAAGGTTCACAAATAAAAATTATCAATTGTCTTAGGTAAACACATGAAAAATAGAATTCGGTAATCGAATTGGTCTCTAAGTACAATAATATTTTACTACTTAGATATAGTTGTAAACTTGTGGAATGTCAAGTTTTTGGTATCGTTTTTTAGCTGTGTTTGCACTCTTTAGGTTGGAGTTCATGGGTGGTGCTTATGCAATGCGTTTGACAATTTAATTTAGTTTTAGCAAGAGAAACTGAGGAGATTTTCATGATATATTACATTTTGATTGAGACAAGAATGTTAGATATGGATTAGGTTGTTGGTTTGTGTTGGAGTAGTGACTGATTTGTACCATTGTTTTATTTTAAAGTTGTTTAATTATTGTTTGTTCATCTTTATAATTGATATGATGCTTTTACTCTGTTTTGGGTCCTTCGTGAGACCCATAACAAAAAGTCCTAGAGCAAATCTCAGAGTTAAAAGTCTCACAAAACATATAGAGTTTCATTTTAACTAAAATCATGCAATTTAGCCCCCGATCGCATCACTCACTATATAATTTAATTTGACGGTTGTCTGCACAGGATGTTGCATCACAAGCATGCGGTTTCAACTGTTGTTGATGTATAAGAGTAAAGTGCATCATTTCAGGTATTTAAATATTGGGGCTGATAAAAATATATAGGGTTAAATACCTTATACCCCCTGCCATATGCGCGTGTTTTGATTCCTACCCCCCCCCCCCCCCCCCCCCTTAAGAAATTTTTTCCCACCCCTCAACAAATATAGATTCCAACGTAAAATATCCTGGTGTGTTTTTTTGAAAAGATTCTATGAATCTGGCCTACATGGCCAACATCTCTTGGTTGATTGTGTTATAAGTGACACGCTGGAGTGTTTATAAAAGGCATTGTTGACATATAGGATTATAATTTTCTCATTTCACCCCCTTGAAAAACTAGGGTTTATATCAGTCAAAATAGCAAACTGGAGATGATGAAGAGAGGATCCACCACAATAAATAAGAAGAAGTCCAAGAAATCATAGCAATCGAAGCAAGCAAAGGGAGATACTCAAGCAAGTCAATTAAAGCAATCGGTTCAATCGGAGATGCATAAAGAAGATTTTGAGGCTTCTGAAGCTCAAAAGGTACGTTTTTTTACCGTTTGTGTCGAACTCAAAGTGTAGATGCATGTTAGGTTTTAATTGTTTTCCTTTCTAATTTCAAAATAAACAAATCTTCAATGTTGTGTTCCACCATGAAGAGGAATTTGTGAGGTTAAATGATGGGGTTATGATTTACGGGAGAGGTGTGTTGAGTTTAGTTTCTGGGATCCATATTGATAAGTGAACAATGGTTAGCGTTCATAAGATGTTGACTGGGTGGGGTTACATGCAAGGGATATATAGGACATGGACTAAGATTCTTGAAATAGATGCTAAATTTTTCCAGATTATGAAGGATGATGATTGTTATGATTTAACAGTATATGTTTGTGTCAATGAAGTTGATGGGGAAATGTTTGTGGAGTACGATGTAACAGATGTTGAAGTGTCAGTAAGAAGTTCTAGGTGTGTGAATGAGATAGTTGAGATGGATAAATGTGATGAAGAGGGAGTAGAAGGGTTGAGGGATAGTGGGGATGAACACGCCACTACTATCCAAGATGAATTTGAAGGTATTGATGTTACTATACCTATTAATGAAGCACCTTCACTAGCTGGTTTTTTGAGTGGTTCTAAAAAGAAAAAAATAGGAAGATGATGATGAATATGAGAGTGATGAACTACATAAATCAGATCCTGATATTTCAGATGATGAGAAAGTGCCAAAGTTTGAAAAGTTTAGGAGAGAGCATTTGGATACAAATTTTAAATTTGAGTGAGGTATTGTCATACCCCAAATCTGCCATACTAATTGCTAACCAATTGATTCTTTTGCTACTCATCTCAACATTGTCATATCCTTTGGCTAGTTATATCATAAATTTGTATTGCAAAACTAGCTTAGATATAACGGGGGTTTAAAATCTCAATAGGGGGTATTCATAACATAATGGACTTAGCATTCACATTTTGCTAAAGCCCATTTTTAATCTTCTTTTTGGGATCATAATAAGAAGGGTGTGGATAGAATTGGATGGATCAGGGAATATTTGAATCCATTTCGTCTATTGATTTGTTCTAAATGTCATCATTAACATATTTTTGATTAAGAACATTATTTCTAATATTATTTATTAATATTATTTCTAATATTATAATTTATATTATCAATTTATTTTGTTTTTATATAAAAATTTGTCTCCCAAAACAATTAGATTTTTTTTAATATTTCTTTTTTTGACTTTATTATTATTACAAATATTATTATTATACCAATGTTATAATATCATAATTGATTTTTTTTTAGTTTTGGTGACTTGTTGACCGAATCAACCAGAGAAGTGGAAAACCCTTGTATCCAACGGAGGTACTATTCTCCTTCTACGTTAAGAAAATAACACAAAGCCTAGAAAAACGCATAGAAATCGAATCAAATCTGGAAATCATGTTTGTTTTTATTTACTAGAAACGAATCACAACGCATAACAAGGCCCGAATTCATTACAACAAAATCAATCACAACCCTAATTTCTAAATGAAATCAAATCTGTAAATCGAATCAATTACGATATAAAAATATAACCTGATTGATTAAATCTCAGAATAATAACGAAAATCAACACAAGCTTCCTAATTTAAATCCTAATCTAACACTATATAAACCCTAAACTCTAATTGAAGAGGACCGGGAAAAATTAAGCAAAAAGAAAGAAGAAGGAGAAGAACAAGATCCTGCCACCATAAAACCCCGACCCTTCCTCGGAGCATTCAGATCTAGGGTTTCTGAACAGAAACCCTAAGATCTTCCATCGTAGACGTCATTTCCCTCCGTACATGTGAACCAAAAACAAGGAAAGTATCAGACGAAGCAATCGGAAAACCAGAACCAAAAGCAAGCATCAAGGGTTCACGGCCGTAGAGGTACTCTCCGATTACACTTAGCTTAAAGAGTTTTAATTTCTTGTTGTGATTTAAGTTTGGATTTAGGTGTTTTGGGCTAGGTCGCCACTGATTAGGGTTTCTGGGTTTGGGGGTTAGGATTGTTATTGTTATTGTTGTGTTGAAAGAGGAGAGAATAAGAGAGAACGAATAGGAGAAAGATGATAGAGAGAGGAGAAGAACGAATGAATGAAAATGAAATTGGAAAAGAAAACTTATAATACCTTCGCATTCTGGTGCATCACCCTTACCATGCACCCTCAATCTCCACCCTTATGATCAAATCAAACGTCTCAGACTGCGCCAACCCACCATAAACGTATAGGTGCGTACACACCAAACCCAAACACAATCAGAATTTGTATTGGACCTCTTGAATAAATTTTGGGCTTAGGGCCTGTTATACTTGCACCCCCCAAATTTTTATTTTGCTCTTTCAACAACAACTTGCACCTCCACCTGTGTTGTGGGCCTAGTTCAATATCTGAACTTGGGCACTTACTTTCTAAACCCCCTATTTTACTACCTAAGGTTAATTTACACCCCTATGCATTTGGGCTTAAAATCTCTTTGGGTCCAAATATTTTTCTTAATACACCCCAGATTTAACTTTTGCTCCCCTCCTTTAATTAATTAATTTATTAATTTAATTCTTTAATTAACTTATTCTATTTTCTTCATTTAGTTAGCATATATCATATTTTTAGCATTTGCATTAAATATAACTTTTGCATAATTATAAAAATTTTAATAAAAAAATTAAACATATTTTTAATAATTATAAAAAATAGTTATTTATTAATTAAATATTTCCTAAAACACTAACCCTACTTTTCTAATTGCTTTAAATCTTTTTCTCATTCAAATTAATTTTTACATATTACATAACATACTCTAAAATATCTAACCAACCAAATAATAACAATTTTTCTACTAACATAATTTTTAAATTCGAGATATTTTCAAAAAGGATTGTGGAGATCTTTTATATTAACTATGAACTGCGTCTACGGTTCCGCTATTTTCAACCCAGTCTTGGTTCAAGGATTAATTCAAAATATTTCCATAATCCATAAAAAAACTAACCAAACACTACGAACTACGAATTGGGACTCTGATTCCTCATAAGAGGTTACGTAGGCACGCGACTTAAAAACCAAGGTGAGTTCCCTTAATTAAAAAATTAAAATGTTATCCTACTCCTTTAACCTAAACCCTAGGACTTCCTTGAGAACAAGGTAGAGGAAGGGTGCCTAACACCTCCCCTTCGTCTAAACTAAATCAAGAACTTATAATCTCTGTATCGATTTAGGGTTATTCCATTATTCACCCGTCGTTAGGACAAAAAGTAGTGATGGCGACTCATTATTTTTTCCGGTTACGACACATATGGAATTCAATTCCCTAGATGAATTTAGAGAGGCAATACGTGAGTGGCCAATATTAATTGGTAGGAAATTACCTTTGTAAAAAATTAGAGCTACATGGTAAGGGTAAGGGTCCAATGGACACATCACAACCTACTAAGGAAACAAATCCAACAGCGGCTACAATTCAAATTGACACAACACAACCAAATGATGCTTCTCAACAAATTGACTACTTTGGTGACATAACTGATGATATCATTTCAAGCCTTTTTGACATCAACACATTACAAGCACCTATTGCAGAAGTCATAGTTGCCAAAAAGCCAAAAAAGAAGGGGAAAGAGGTGAAGCTAATGAGAAGGAGGTCAAGTGAGAGAATTAAGAACAACTAGTTTTAAAAAGCAAAACCATTCACGGGGATTGGTTCCAACCAAGACCAACCTATGTCTCTGACAGATGAAGAGGGTGGCACTTTGACACAAGAAGGAAATGGTTCTCAATGTGCAAAGAGGAAACTTAGGAAGTAGTCTGTTATGCCTTTGTTATGACCATGTTTAGTATGTTTTGAACCTTTATGTATAACTTCTACATTATGTTATGGCTTATGCCTTATGTAATGGCTGATACTCTTTTAGTTATGGCTTATGTCCTTATGTTATGACTTCTAAATTTTGTTATGGCTTATGCCCTTGTGTACTGAATTACACCTTGTGTTATGGCTAATGCTATTATGTAATGATTTCTGCCTTAATTTATTGCATTTACTTTTGACTACTTTTACTGAATGACATAAAAAGGAAATCTTGCATATATTAACTCAACAAGAGCAATGTGATTTATAATATCATATTACATAACTCATCAAACTTTAACCAACATAATATTACATAATTCTACATTACTGACATTGTGTAGCAAAGCTCCTAATTCATTATTGCAACTAAAACCAACACATTATACTTCCTGTTACATATATGTGTACTTTAACTTGGCCTTTTCTAGTTTTTTTGTTGTCATTTCAATCTTCACCATTGGCACCTCACAGTTTTTGCAACCAATTTCATTCTTTGTGCATTCATTCATAGAGTGAGCAACTTCATCATCCCAAATAAACAAGTCACAACAATTCCCCATCTGCATACACAAACAAATTATTGGCATAACAGATCTTCCCAAATATAGATGTAATTCGTGAAACTCGTAGATTTAAACACTTACCCTTGTGTTACAACACTTCTAGAACTTCTTATTCCTGTTTTGTACAGTATTCACGACCCACATATTTATTGGATGACGGCAGCCGCACCTGGGAACGGTTGAAATCTCATATGAATTATTGCTTCCACCACTATTACTTGGATCCATTTGACCGGTTTAGGGTTTCAGACACACAAAGAAATAGATGATAGAAGAGGCAATAGATGATGGAAGAAGCAATAGATGATAGAAGAAGCAAATATGGGTAAAGAAGATAATTGTGTAATACGGTGGGAGAACTGACTTGTTTAGTGTTTTATCGCGAATATTGCGGATAGCAAGAGTCCCACCGACTTTTCTTTTTTATCTATTTTAGAGTATGTTATGTAACATGTAAAAAATAAATTTGAATGAGAAAAAGATTTAATGCAATTAGAAAAGTAGGGTTAGTGTTTTAGAAAATATTTAATTAATAAATCACTATTTTTTTCTAATTAATAAAAATATGTTAAAAAACTTTTAATAAAATTTTTATAATTATGCAAAAATTATATTTAATGCAAATGCTTAAAATATGATATATGTTAATTAAATGAAGAAAATAGAATAATATAATTAAAGAATTAAATTAATTAATTAATTAATTAAAGGAGGGGTGTAAAAGTTAAATATGGGGTGTATTAGGAAAAATATTTAGACCCAAAGAGGTTTTAAGCCCAAATGTCTGGGGGTGCAAATTAATCTTAGGTAGTAAAATATGAGGGGTCTGGAAAGTAAGGGCCCAAGTTCAGATATTGAACTGGGCCCAAAGTGTAGGTGGAGGTGCAAGTTGTTGTTGAAAGGGTAAAATAAAAAACTGGGGGGTGCGAGTATAACAGACCCTAAGCCCAAATTTTGTTCAAGAGGCCCAATACAAATTTTGGGTGTGTTTGGGTTTGGTGTGCGTGCACCTATACGCTTATGGTGGGTTGGCGCAGTCAGAGACGTTTGATTTGATCATAAGGGTGGAGATTGAGGATGCATGGTAAGGGTGATGCACCTAAATGCATAGGTATTATACTTTTTCTTTTCCCATTTCATTTTCATTCATTTGTTCTTTTCCTCTCTCTCTCTCTCTCTCTCTCTCTCTCTCTCTCTCTCTCTCTCTCTCTCTCTCTCTCTCTCTCTCTCTCTCTCTCTCTCTCTCTCTCTCTATCTATCTTTTTTATCCTCTTCGTTCTCTCTTCTTCTCTTCTCTTTCAACACAACAATAATAATAACAACCCTAACCCCCAAACCCAGAAACCCTAATCGGCAACGACCCAACCCATAAAGCCTAAATCCAAACTCAAACCGCAACAAGAAATCAAAACCCTTTAAGCTAAGTGTAATCAGAGAGTACCTCTACGGCCGTGAACCCTTGATTCTTGCTTTTCATTATGGTTTTCCGATTGCTTCGTCTGATCCTTTCCTTATTTCTGATTCGCATGTATAGAGGTCAACAACATCTACAATGGAAGATCTTAGGGTTTATGTTCATAAACCTTATATCTGAATGCTCCGAGGGATGCTCCGAGGAAGGGTCGGAGTTTTACGACAGCGAGATCTTGTTCTTCTCCTTTTTCTTTATTTTTGCTTAGTTTTTCCCGATCCTCTTCAATTAGAGTTTAGGGTGTATATAGTATTATATTAGGATTTAAATTAGGAAGTTTGTGTTGATTGTCGTTATTATTCCGAGATTGAATCAATTAGGTTAGATTTTTAGATTGTAATTGATTTAATTTACAGATTTGATTTCATTTAGAAATTAGGGTTTCGATTGATTTTGTTGTAATGAATCTGGAACTTGTTATGCGTTATGATTCATTTCTAGTAAATAAAAACAAACATGATTTTCATATTTGATTCGATTTCTATGCGTTTTTCTGGGCTTTGTGTTGTTTGCTTAACGTAGAAGGAGAACAGTACCGTCGTTGGATACAAGGGTTTCCACTTCTCTGGTTGACTCGGTCAACAAGTCACCAAAAGTAAAAAAAAAATCAATTATGATATCATAACATTGACATAATAATAATATTTATAATAATAATAAAGTCAAAAAAAATATATTAAAACAAATCTAATTGTTTTGGGATGTTGACCTCTTGGTCAACAAATTTTTATATAAAAACAAAATAAGTTAATAATATAAATTGGAATATTAGAAATGATATTAATAACTAATATTAGAAATGATATTAATAACTAATATTAGAAATAATATTCTTAATCCAAAATATGTTAACGATGACATTTAGAATAAATCAACAGACGAAATGGATTCAAATACAAGCCTTAAACTGTCAACTAGATTAACATAAACCCTAATTGTTTTCAACTTAACATAATCAAGTACATTACATTGCACATAACTTAACATAATCAAGAACAACTTAACATAATCAAGTACATTACATTGCACATAACTTAACATAATCAAGAAAAACTTAACATAATCAAGTACATTACATTGCACATAACCTTAACTTAACATAATCAACTAAAAATTACAACTTAACATACACATCCTAACATCCCCAACTTAACATACTCAATTGTGTTCATACAAACTTAATAAACTTAACCTAACCAACTAATTGATTACATTTGATACAACCAATCCAACTAACAACACTAATGTCATTCCCATGGTAAACTTGTTCATCATCTTCAAGAATTTCATCTTCAACTTTAATCCATCCTCTCTAATTATGGCTTCATTAGCTTGGTTTTTTCTTGGTTTAACTTTTGGTGCAGCGAAGCTATTACTTTCTTGGCTATTTGACTCGTCTCTTTGTCACACCAGACAAAATAACTACACCTCTTATATCCCTATATCTAGAAATAGAGAAGAAGAATGAGGGATTTTCTGGAAGTCATAAAATAATATAGTTCACATATATTACAAATCAAACTAATATCTTGTACATCCCACAAGAAGAAAAAAACGACGACCTGAGTTTAAATCTGTCCAAACCGTCATCAATGGAGATGGAAGACTACATTTACATTTGTCATTGGAAGAGCGAGAAAAAAGAACAATTACTTCATGTTGAACATTAGGACATCATGCTGAGCCCTGGACAGTGAAGATTGTTGCGATTTCTTAGATTTTCTAGGGAAGGGGATGAAGAAAGCAAAACCAATTTCTACGATTTTTAGGTGCTACAAATGGGGTCGAAGGTGAATGATGGTTAGGATTCTCTGTTGAACGATGATGGATAAATTAAATTAATAAATTTCCTTTCATAATTAAAATATTTTTAATTTCCATTATTTAATTTGAAATGATATGAATGAGCTGACAACAAAATTTTCAAACTTTATCAAACTTTCACTTATTACGTTATAAGTGAAGCTGACACATAGTCAAATCTGATTGAAAATCTAAAAAATATTTAAAAGAAGGTTTTAATATCTGAATTTAAAAAAATAAATTAGAAAAAACAAATAATGAGAACCAAAACTGCATTTAAACATTAATAAAACATTAATTCTTTGCTATTTTTAAAAAAAGAAAAATAAAAAAAATCTTACATAAATGATGGGCGAAGTTATTACTCAAGGAGAAGTACTTTTACATAGGAGTTTATAATTATGATATCCATGTGAGTTTACCCTTGGAAATTGACCAAAAAATTTCTTTCCATGAAGTGGATCTATCACTACTTGCCTACATTTTCGTGGAACAAAGCCTAATAAATGCAAGACACCAACAAATGTGATTCCCATTTACTACTCTCCCATTTTACCAACTCTAGCCCCCAAATACAAACTACACATCCCCCCCACATACTCTCAATTTCACTCTCTCTTCTCATCAACTACCAACTACCATAACCAGAAAATACAACACCAAAATGTCCAACAAGCCCCCAGTTTTTCCCATTTCAGACCCTCAACACTTCAGTGACTATGGTTTCGACCCACAAATCAACTATTTTCAGGTACCCTTTTTCTCTCTATCTCTATTTCCGATCTTTCTTTCTTATTCTTTCACACAAAAAATAAAACTTCATTTTTCTTCTTCTTCTTTCTATGATTTCTATAACAGGTTTTAGAAGAAGCCATGAAGCACAAACGAGAATCTTCAAGATCCATCGACTCAATCCACTTCAAGCTACAAAAACCCATTTCAAAAGAAGAATCAAGAAACAAGAATCACAAATCCAAGAAGAAAAGATGGTGGAAAAACGCTCTTTTTTTCTTCAAATGGAAATGGGCCCACCCCCACCACCGTTGCGATGATCATCGCTACGACGACGGCGACAGTGATGACATTCATCAAGCCCGGGCTAAGGCCTTTCGGGCC